AGCAGCAGCAGCAACAGCAGCAGCAGCAGCAGAAACTGCACCAAGAAGGGCAGCAGCAGCATGAGCAGCAACGGCAGCTAGAGCCGCAAGACAAACCGAAACAACACCACTACCAGCAGCGGCAGCAACAGCAGCAGCAGCAACAGCAGCAGCAGCAGCAACAGCAGCAGCAGCAGGAAGAGGGTTATATGTTTGATTCTTTTGCTTCTTTAGTTGAGGCCTTAGGCGGATCGCAGCCTCTACACTTGGCTGTCTCTGAGACAGACACCTCCTTATCTTTTCAGGTATTTACAAATAAATATATTTAAACTAAATAAATAAATAAATAAATAAATAAATATATTATATGTATATATATATATATATATAAATATTAATAAAGCTGAGTCTAAGAGAGACATCTCCCTATCTTTTTATCTGATTTTAATTAAGTATATTTAAATAAATAAATAAATCGATAATAATAATAATAATAAATTATATATAAGTAATAATAATGAAGAAATAGATTAAAACAAACTAGAGCATGCATGCATGCATGCATGCATGCATGCATGCACACAGGAAGTTACTGAGTATAAAATATATTTTTAATATCTTTTTTTTGTATTTGTTTGTTTGTTTGTTTATATTTAAACAGATACCGATAGAGGGTTTAGGGTTTGCTTTATCTGGGCTGAGAGAAGCTTTATCTGCTTCTCAGTTCTGCTCAAGCGATATAGATGCAGCTTTGCTGGAGTTAAAGCAGCTGCAGCAGCTGCTGCAGCAGAAATGTGCTGCAGATTATCAGTGCAGACGCAATGCGCTCCTCAAGTGCCACGTGGTTAGACTCCTGCTGCTGTTGCTGTTGTTGCTGCTGCTGTTGCTGCTGCTGCTGTTACTGCTGCTGCTGTTCCTGCTGGTGCTTTTGCTTCTGCTGCTGCTGCTGCTGCTGCTGCAGTTGCTGCTGTTGGGGTTGCTTGTGCTGCTGCTGTTGCGGTTGCTGGTGCTGCTGTTGCTGCTGCTGTTGCTGCTCCTTCGCCTTTGCTGCTGCTGCTGCAGGGGGTTGTTCGGTGTTGCTGCAGTTCTGCTGCTGCTGTTTTTTATAGATTGTCTCGGGTGCTGCAGTCTGTTGTGTAGTTATATCGGGTCTGAGTTTTATTTTATTTCCTTTCATATCTGCTGCTTTGCTGCTGCTCTGCTGCTGCCCTATTGCTGCTCTGCTGCTGCTTTGCTGCTGCTTTGCTGCAGCTGAATCCTCATCACCGAGCGAATCGTGTGCATAGCGTTGGGTTTGAGCTGCTGCATGCACTGCGAGCCTCTCAGTGGCGGTCACAAGATCTGAGGGGGTGGCGTCAGCAGCAAAAGCAGTGGAGGCGACAGCAGCAGGAGCAGCAGCGGCAGCAGGCTTCTCGTGCAGCAACAGCAGCAGCAGCAGCAGCAGCAGCAGCTACTCCAGGCGCACCCTTCTCAACCTCCCTGCAACTTACACAGAGAAACAGAAACGTATACTCTTCTACACCTCAGGCACCGCAACAGCAGCAGCAGCAGCAGCAGCAACAGCAGCAGCAACAGCAGCAGCAGGAGGAGGAGGAAGGAGATGAGGAGGATGATAATAGAGGTGGAGGGTCTCTGTATAAGCAGCAAAGATTAGGCGGGTTTGCTGCTCCTCGTCTGGTGTATGTAGAAGAGATAGGCGCTGATGTTCTTGCTGCAGATGTGAATATAGAGACAGCAGCAGTAGTCTGGAGACAGCATTATTATGCTGCTAATGCATTAAAACTTGTCTTAACGGGCCCAGCCAGCCCCGAAGATTTGCTGCTGCATGCGCGCAATGCCTTTGAAGACCTTCCTGCTGCAGCAGATTTAAACCTACATCTCAACTGTACAGACACCCGAGCATCAGAGGTAGAAGCACTTAACCCTCAGCCTCCTCTATTTCCTTCAGAGTGGTTGCCTTCAGCAGCAGCAGCAGCAGCAGCAGCAGGGGTAGCTGCTGCTGCTGCTGCTGCTGTTAATGAAAACACGTCCAGCAGCAAAGAAGCAGATGCTAGCAGCAGCAATAAAAATATTAAATCTCTTACAACTCCTGCTGCTTGTCCTAACCCGAAGGAGTTAGGGGCCTCTCCACGTGATGTAGGGGTTGGTGCAGGTGTCTCCTCTGTCTCCTTTGCTGCTGCTGCTGCTGCTGCCCATACACAGCAGCAGCAGCAGCAGCAGCAGCAGCAGCAGCAGGTTGCAAGGCCGCAAGATCTAAACAAAGTGCTGCTGATGCTGCCTGCAAGTCGGCAGACGCATAGCATAGAGTTTGTCTTCTTCTTAAACAAATCCCCGTGTACAGACACTAAGTGAGCAGCATTTAACTGTCTCCTTCTGCTCTCCATCCCTCTTACCTCTCTTCTTGCTGCTGCTGCTGTTGCTGCTTTCTCCTGCTAATGCTGCTGCTGCTGCTGCTGCGCGTTGCTGTGGGTGACGCATAGCTGCGTCTTTCAAAGATTTTGGCTGCCTTGGTGTGCTCTTCATACCTAGCAAATTGCTGCTGCTGCTGCTGCATTTGCTGCTGCTGCTGCTGCTGCATTTGCTGCTGCTGCTGCTGCATATGCTGCTGCTGCATGTGCTGCTGCTGCTGCTGCTGCTGCTGGTGTGTGTCTCAGGGCCTGCTTAATGTAAGGCGCTTTAACTTTGTTTGTTTTTGTTTGCTCCGACCCTCCTCAGTTGTTGCTGAGCTACACATACACCTGAAGAGTTTATACTGTTGCCTCTGCGATGCAAATGAATATACCTCCTGCTGCTGCTGCCTTGCTGCTGCTGCTGCCCTTTCTGCTGCTGCTGCTGCCCTTTCTGCTGCTGTTGCTGCCCCTTCTGCTGCTGCTTTTACCTTTCTGCTGCTGCTACGTTTCTGCTGCTGCTGCATTTGCTGCTGATGTTGTGTGCTGAAGGCTAGCAGCAAGTTTGCTCGGGCAGCGAGGCCCTGGGAGCTGTTTTGGAGCTCTAAGAGCTGCGGGGTAAGAGCTGCGGGGCTGGCGGAGGGGATGCATGTATCTGTTCAATCTTCTGCATGCACTACAGAATTAAGAGTTGCGTTGATTGTCTCCGGCGGCACTTTGAAGCACTTCACTGTCGAGCTAATGGGCAGAATATTTTTCGTCTATTTAGAGTCAGACATCTGCTGCTGCTGCTGTTGCTGTTGCTGCTGCTGGTGTTGTTGCTGCTGCTGCTGTTGCTATTGTTGTTGCTGCTGCTGCTGCTGCTGTTGCTGTTGCTGCTGCTGGTGTTGTTGTTGCTG